GGGGGTGTGCTGTCTAATGTGATACTGTGAGTTTTGGCAGAGCCTCACTCTGGCTCCTCTGCTGTCATTTGGACAGAGTGCAGTGAGAGCCGCTGCCTGCTCCAGAGCAGGGAGAGGCCAAAAGAATCACGTCCCGCTGTGTCTGATGTTTAGAAAAGAAACAAAAGACGAAACACGTTATTTATTCATCAGTTCTCTCCGAGACTGGCTCAACTTTTAGGTCCTCAACAGGGGGTCTGTGACCCCTAGCAGATCCACAGAGGTGGAAAAAGCGGGGCGATCATGGTCAGACATCTTGAATTAAACATAACTTCATGAATAAATAAAGTGAATTAAATACATCACAATATTTTTGATTGGTCCCTGCAACAACTCTTTACTATTTTCCTGAAAAATTTAAAAACAAATTTACATCTAACAAGACAGTAATTTTTTTTAAAACAAAGTCCAAACATTGAGAAAGTTAGCTGTTTATATATATATATAATCCAAACATTAAAAAAGTTGAAGACAGCACAGATCTTTTTAAGTATTTACCGTTTAAATATAGACCAGTAGGTGGCAGAAAAGGAACTCAAAGGGATACAATATGCCAAAAAAGACGGTGAAAAGAAAAGCCCTATGCCAAGAAATCCTCTTCAGTTAAAATCTCAAATGTTGCAGAAACATCCAAAATAATATCTAAAAAGTCGTTATACATCACTGAAGATTTAGATCGATGTCTCTCAGAGTTATTTTTCATGTTTATTTCTTTGTGTCCAGTATCTGATCCCCATTCTCAAAAACTAACTGTATTACTTATCCACTTTAAGTTAAAGTTTTTACCAAGATTTACAATAAAGAACAAAAGTTAAAGCAAAAAAACCCAAAGTTTTAGCACCTCCTTCAGGGTAGGAGGAGAAACTACACACTCCTTTATAAATGTGTTCATACTTCTTCCTTTTATTGTTCAATGCTAACATCCACAGGCATGAAGTGAGCTCATTGCCGCTGACACTCACATGACTTACGGACACATTCAGCTCAATTCAAACATAAATTCTCTCTTTTTTTCTTCTCAAGAATGAAACATTAAAAGACACAAAAACTGTAGTGACTTCAAACTCAACACGTCACTAATTCACGTTACTGTGTTGACGTAGTGTCTCCACACATTCTAAATCATTTTTAAAAAACTCTGTTTAAACTGCACTAATTCATCGGAGTCGTGTTGTGTCTGTAGTTTGAACCACAGACACGCAGTGAAACTCGGGTGATGAATGCGCTCCGAGTGCACGCGCACAAAGTGATAACGGTTACAGTTGTGGAGAGCGTTTTCTTGGCCAAGTGTTTTCGTGCTGCGGTGAAAAAGCGACATAAATCAAATTCTCCAGAGTTGCACGTGAAGTAACCCGTCCCGGACTAAACGTTAAAACCTCACACACACCGGCTAAAGCAGAAAGTGTTGTTGTTTTGTTTTTCTTACCTAGTAATATGAGGATGGAGAGGTGGTGGCGCTGTCCTCCTTTATAATCCATGACTGTCTCTCTGACCGCTGCTCCACGGACTGTTGGTTTTATCTCCTCATGGATGCGTGGAAGTGACGGTCACTGACCGCAGACTGGTGATGCACAGGGTGAGGGAGACGTAGACACGCAGAAAGAGGGGGGAGAGAGGGGGGGGCAGTTAGAGTGAGAGAGAGAGAGACGGAGAGAGAGAGAGAGCTCCAGTGGATAGCGGACTTGTTTTCTCCAAGTTGCGCACTGTTACTCATTCCAGTGATGCTGATGCAGCTCCCGGTGACGACAGCCGTCCCTCCTCCTCCTCCTCCTCCTCCTCCTCTTCATTCTCCTCCTCTGCCCCCGCACTTCATCTGTGTTAACCACCGGTCCAAGGGCTTCTTGTGATCCCCCCCCTCCCTGTGCCCGCCGCTGCCGCCGCTGCCTGTGGCACCACCTCAGAAAGTACAAGCAGGGCCGGACCGAGCTGTTTTGGTTTCAAGTTTGAAATTTTGATGGCATCCAGTTTTACTCAATTAGTGTTACTCAAGTTTTAAACATAACCACAGGTGGAGCTTTTAAACTGGCAGCCATTTTGAAGTTGGATGCAGACTGTTGCGTTGACCGTGAACTCCTGGGAAACATGATGTGAGATGAAGGAAGTTCATGCAACCCACCTGAGGGACACGACGCAGTCTTTGGGAAAGAATGGTTTGAACTGTGAAATATAAGTGCTCAAAACGACACCAGTGAACTGGTTAACAGTGAGTTAACCACGAGGGTTAAAAGAAGCATCTCGTCGGTTGAAATGAATGTTTGGTTAGTGTTTTCTTTTTGGATAAGAAGTCGTGCGCTGCCTCAGGTGATGAAATCTGAGAGCGAGAGATTAAAGTGTAGTGTTTCATAAGTCATGTGTGAAATTTGACCTACGGGAACATCCAGTCCTAAACCAACACGTGCTTCAACTCAGTGTTCCCTTTTTTTCCAGTTCATTTCTAGCATTAGCAAACACAAAGTTTAGGCTGCACTTCCCCATGCCCGCCACACAAAGGCGTTAGAAGCAGGTCTACAGACGGACATACCTGAATGTTTGTCAACGCCGCTTCAGCCGTCAAGACTCTTGGCGTCCCTTAATGTTCGAGAGTGAACCTGTCAATAGATGACAAATTATAAAAGCACTTAACATAGCACGAAGAAAACGGGGAAGAAAAGACAGCCTCAGGACAGAGGAACGTTAGGGAACAAAGGTATGTTAATTTTTAAATGTTTAAAACGTCCGCCCGCCTTATTTTTGACATCAGTTCTTTCATCTCTAATCCCCTTATCCTGCTATGGGTCCCGAAGGGAAACTGGAGCCTTAACCTGTTTACAGAGGGGCCAAAAAACAGCAAACTATAATGGCAACAGGTCACAAGTTTGTCTGTGTTGGGTTTGTTTTTGTTTTAAAAAAAACTGGCTACAACTGTGACCACAGTACGTCTGTTTTGTGTTTGTTTTTGTTTAAAAATACTGGCTACAACTGTGACCACAGTACGTTGTCTCGTCTTTGTGTTAAAAAATATATATAACACATTATGACTATACTAATAATTCAAATCCCCAAGAGTGGTATTTAAACATTACTGTTGGTTTCAAACAGTAATCTACAGCTACGGTTCAATACTGCAGTACATACAGTAATACTGGCGTAGACGAGTACTATTCCCGTCTCTGTGATGATTTCGACCATGTTGTTATTCAGCTGATGTGTGTTTTGATGCATGTGAGCACAGGGCCTTAATATAGACAGATCTAAAATACAGAACCGAGAAGTCCGGCTGTAATTTCTAATAAGTCCAATCACGTAGAAAGGCTAGTTTCCAAAATGCTGATCTTTTTTTTTTAAAATTCATCTTGGCACCAGCTTGAATTTATTAGATGTCTCTGCAGGGAATTACTCTATATTCTGTTCTTTTTTTTTAATATAAATTGGAAACAAAAAAAAAAACGTGTCATTAAATAAACATCAGCTCAGTGCCTGGTCTGATTTCCTGTCTTCTCCAGTTCCATTAGAATTAACTATGAAAAGCCTCACCAGTGTCTTAAACCTGTTGTAACTGAATCCTGTGTAAACACTAATAAGGAAGTGGGTTGAAGCCCAGGGCTGTGATAGGTGGCCAACATAAATAGACAAGCTCTCCCGTCCTGTAACTCATCGTCCACTGTTACATCTGTGTAAACATTTCACTTAACCCCCCGTTCACTGGGGTCACATTTACCCCAAGTGTCCTCTGTGGGGCAGTCCAAGTGGACACACCTTAAATCAGCTGCAGCCTGAAGAACACACTGACACCAAACTTTTTTCTTGCAGTTTTTCTCCCCTTATCTGTCATGATGGTAGTTTGTCTGCATTCGTGTCACTCTGCGCCGCGTCTTCTGATGACACGCTAAAACGGGAAAAATAAATAAATAAATAAACCTGTTGAATCCTGGGAGAATTTGATTAAAGAATGCAGCCGTGTGAATGACAAATATTTTTGGGTGATTTTCGGGGGCTTATCAATCGACAGATATAACAGAAGTTAAAGCTGGAACTCAGAGGGAAAGATTTTCCTCAATCATGGGAACGGGGGGGCGGGGGCAGGAGCAGAGAGATGGAGCCTTGGTGTGAACCAAGGATAAATGACATGTAAAAGTCATGCGTAAAGGCTAAAATGCTAATATGCTTTTATCATTTTCTACGCCATCTATTAAGGAAACTTGGGTATTGCAGGGAAAAGGCACAAGTATAATGATAATATAAATAAATTATATAATTTGGAAAAGTTTGACGGGCCGGATTAAAAAGCTGAATGGGCCGCATCTGGCCCCCGGGCCTTAGTTTGTTCATGCTTGGACTAACCTACAGTATGTTGAACTTCTGTGCACATGAAACTTTTCTCCACTCCGGCCTTCAAAGATCCTGTTTGAATATATGCTACTATCACCAAGATCTGCACTGACTAATACCCTGGTTAATTAATATTTTATTGACCTGCAGGTGTCAACTTTCCTTTATGATGAAAATGACCAAAAACCTGGAATTCACACCCACACATCATTCTACCAAAATAATTTCTTTGTTAAAATGTTCAATTTTCAATGTTACACCAGTTTGTTGATGTAATTAACCTCAGGTGTGACACACGGCTCCTGGCGAACAGATGTAAGACACCGATATGTGGACAAAAACATAATCGCGTTTTTTCCTCCAAAACAAATTGTTCTACTTTAGATCATTAACAGTGGCACAACGTAGCGTTACTGTCTCTGTCAGAGAAATTGGAGCTGCACTTTGAGTGTCAGTTGAGTCAGTTATACAAGAGCCTTGAAAGCAGAGAAATACAATCTAACTTTACACTTCACCGTGCACTGCCTTCCATGTTTGCCATTAGTCAGTTCATACTGACGTCTGTTTTTGGTTCTTTGCTGCATCTGTAGGTTTTCTGTGTTGTGTTTAAGTCCAAATGAGGCCGTGACGCCATTAAGGTTTCTAGATGCTATCTTTATTTTTTTACGACGAACCGGACTTTTGTCAAATCTAATCATGTAATTATATTGAAAGAGCCCTAAAGTTACAGTGTTTCCTCTAAAGTGAAGCTTTGTTTCAGTTGAACGTTCCATGAGATTTATTTCTTCTTTCATCAAAGCAGGTTTGTTTGTTGGCAGCAAAACAGTGGATGAAGGACATGACAGATGTGTATCAATTAGAGGAATGTAAGAAAGATAAAAGACTCAAAAAAAATTAACTTTAACAGAATTAAATTAAGAGTTAAGTATTGACATACATGGAACGACCAATTTTAAGTTTAATTTTAGATGAGCAGAAAATGTAATAACTCCTTTCACGTAGATGTGAATATATCACCATTATCCCTGGTATATGTATAATTGAGTATCATCAGCATACAAGTGGAGAACTGACTACTTTCCTATGAAGGTTCTTCACAGACCTTAAGAGAAACTTGTGGGTAAACGTAGGTCAAACAGGTCACATTTTGGTATCTGACGATACCAATATTAATCCGACGCCTTCTTTTTTTCCCCTTCAGCATGCCATAGGCTGGCGTTGCTTAGGCAATAGTGTCCATGTCTATGCATGTCACGCAAAGTGAAGTTGAGCATTTGGTTTTTACCGATGTTCAATCCTGAAATTTGACCAATATTGAACCAATACCAATTCAATCACTGAACCAACATTCTGTGTGGTTTTTTGTTTATTAATACGTGGAGAAAGTGCTACACAGTTTTAATGATACTTTTAAGAAGAAAACAGAAGACAATCGTTTCAACGGAATAAAACGGCGTAAAAGCTCTGCTCACTTTCTGTTTAGTCAGTCGTGATAATTACGCAGAAAGTAAAATTCTAATTGTACAGCATTATTTTTATTTATTTTACCCTTATTTTTTTGATACGTCCTTTTATGATGGCGTTGTCAGTTTGAAGACATTTTTTTATAACACGTGTTGTTTTGAAGGACATAAGATATTTGGCTTAAGTTGGTCAAGAACAGGTATCGTGAGAACAAAGTGACCACGCACACAAATCTGTGCTGTCTTTTCAACTTTTGCCAATTATTAACAGGGTTGTCATGGCTGCCATTTCAGTCTTTTATCCCATCATCGACAAACTGACTGAACTCTCCGTCCCCACTGACCTTTTTAGGAGAACTGACTGAATCAGAGGATAATTAAATAAATTCAGCTCAACATCAGGCCACCGTTGTCTCCTCACTTATGCTACGGTCCAGGCTGTAGTTATGAACCGTGCGTAAAAACTGGACAGGTCGTCCACAGTTCTCAGTGTGTTCCTGGGGGGAAAAAAAGTAGTACCGTACTCTGCTGAATTTTTGTGAACAACTCAGATTTGTGTATGTAAACAGGGACTGGATCTCTGGTTCTGGTTCTGGATCAGAGGTTCTCACTCAGTTTACAATATTAGATGTTCAGCGTATCTTCTCAGAAACTTATAGAAAATCTGTAGGTTATTGATGAATGAACATTGGCTGTGGAGGATGGCTGGGTTGCCCAATCGTAGCCTTGGATTACAAATACAAACTGAAGCAACTTTTAGAGATGGTCATGGACTTTCCAGTTGTCCACTATGCACGAGTTTTAATAACACCCCCCACCGTCCCCCCCGCACCTCCTATCCGCATTAGCACATGTTTGTCCATTTCCTGTTATTACGAAAAAATGCATTATAGTGAAAGGACTATTATCTATGGTTGTAGCGTACTGTTTGGCTGTCGACAAAGTCGATAAAGGAAACACTGCCTTTATTTGCCATGATCATATATATATATATATAAATTGAAGGAAATGCCATTAAAATCTTTTAATGAGTTAGCTGTGCTCTGCAGTAAACATCTTATTTACCACTAGACTCGGCAGGAAGTAACTTCCCTCTGAGGTTTAATCTAATACATGTGAAAAACAAAGCTGTCTGGGACTATTCATTTGGACGTCTGTCCTGGTAGTACGTCTGCGTGTCCACAGAAGTTTGATATGACGTCTCTGATCCATTGGTATCCCGCATACATTTGTAAATATGTGTAGCTCAAACCAAACCGCAGTGGGGAAGATTAATTTCTCATAAACAGAAGGTTGTTTCAATCCAAATAAAAAAACAATGTTCTGGTAATGATCAATAAATTGGTGAACCTTTTGAATAGTTTGATTTTTAACAGCCAGCTGAACAGAAAGTGAGCAGAGCTTTTACACCAATATTGAACTGAAAACACTGTCTCCTGTTTCTGTAGTAAACGTCTGTCCACTGAGGCGTTAAACTGAGAACAGACACTGGCGTATTCAGCGTCAAGACATTTCGGTAAATTTCTCACAACAATTCTTACGGCAACCGTTTCACTCTGTGGTGTACGGTGGTGTATCGCTGCCACACTAACAAAAAAAAAGAAAATTGGCTCAGTATCACACAGTTACGTGATAACTTTCACATTATTTTGTGATAACGTTCACGCAATTACGTGATAACTTTCACGATATTTCGTGATACCTTTCTCGTTATTTCGTGATAACTTTCTAACTCACAAACTAATGTTAAAGTTATCACACATTTAAGTGAAATGTTCACGTTATTTCGTGACACATTTCGGGCATTTCGACTATTGGAATGAGGACTCGGTATCGATGTGTTGTAGGTATTGATGGATGCCTAATTTAAACCATACAGTTTGGTGTATGTATGTATTTATTGTTGTATTACAGTACAATAACTACTACTACCAGCTTCTTACTAATGGAGCTGGACATTTGTGTTTGTAGCACCCTCTACAGGGGAGGAGGAGGGCAGGAAATTAATGACGCAATATCTATTCAATTAAAATAACAATAAATTTATAAAATGAAAGAAAACATGAAGTATGATGAACATTTAATGTTGTGTGATTGACTTCAAAACAGAAGACTAAATCCACATTTGGACTCTTTACCCAGGCCTGTATAAACATTACTGATGTGTTTCAATGATTCAAATCTTAATTAATGTCAAAACCTGGTGTTGGTTGTTTTGTAGAATGATTAGAGAAAAACTCCTACCAGTAAGACATTTCCTGATGTTTGCAGGAGACATTTACTGTTGAAAAAAAGCTTTAAAAAGGAAAACAACACAGAAGAACTGATTCCAACCTCCAGGACAACGATGATCATGATGGACCAACAGCAGTGGAGAAGTTTTTTGGCAGAAGCTGAAGCTTCTGTTGACAGAGTATCAGTCAGCCAACTATGCTGTGAGTGAGCTAATAGCTAGGAGCTAACACCTCATTTATAAGAAAAGAAAAACACAAAAAGCTGCTTTAGTTCCAGTGCCAGAGGTTTTTAAAGCAGTAAAAAGTGTATGAATGATTGGAGCGAGCGTAACAGAGCATTTGTCCTACTCTGTGAGAAATATTTTAAGGTCAGAAAGACGTCGTAATAATCCAGCGGGGGTTAGAAATTCCCTATGACATTTGTCAAGACGTACAGTGTAAACAACTGTTGTGTCAGACGGACAGCAAACACAAGGTTGGGAGCATGGAATTGTCCAAAATGTTTTGGGATCCTGAAGCATTCAAAGTCCCTTTCACTGGAACTAAGGGGCCAAGCCCAGCTCCTGAAAAAAAGAAAATTCCATGCTCCCAACCTTGTAGGAACAGTTTGGAGGAGGCCCCTTCCTCTTCCAACATGACTGTGCACCAGTGCACAAAACAAGGTCCATAAAGACGTGGATGACAGAGTCTGGTGTGGATGAACTTGACTGGCCTGCACAGAGTCCTGACCTGAACCTGATAAAACACCTTTGGGATGAATTAGAGCGGAGACGGAGAGCCAGGCCTTCTCCACCAACATCAGTGTGTGACCTCACCAATGCGCTTTTGGAAGAAAATTCAAGTCAAAAATTCCTATAAACA